GCTAATTTGTTTGCTTTCTGAACCCAGCTACTCTGCCCACCCCACATATTATTGTAAGATTTGTCTTACCCACTTACACATAATTCTTATACAGACATAAGTGCCTAAACATACATAATTACATAGTTATTTTTTTTCCCTTTTAGAATCATAAAAACCTCAAGGAATAGTAAGGATAAGGATATGATGTTTGTTTTGCAAATGAGAATTCAGAGGCTTCAAAAAATTAAATCTATTTTCTGGGGGTGGAGAGCACCCAGACAGAGAGCAAGTGAGAGACGCGGCCCTCTGGCTGCAGCTGCACAGTTTGCTTTATGTTTTAATCCAGTGAGATGATCCTTCAGTTTGTTGCTAGGAGGAGGGGAGGGCTGCGTGTTTAACGAACATGCTTGGATTTATACTGGGCTGCGTTAGCACCCAGTGTGTCAGTCACCGTCTGCTTTCACTGGTGAGGAACCTCCTTGGACACTTCACCAAAGCTGAGCCTGATGCTTTCCAGAAAACATACCTCCCCCACCCCCAGCCCCACCCCAGGGAGACCACCTCCTAGGGCTTAGGATACTTTATAGGAGAGTTGGGAGGTTTTATTGCCCACACAGCCCTCAGCAAACTGTAAACTCTGTTTCTTTTAGGATTCTAAATGGATTCTGTGTTGGCCCTGGGTTAGAGATATGAGTGGGGGCAGAGCGCGGATTTATCCTGGTTGGCTTTGCCCCACCCGCACCTACAGCCTGTCGAGGTGTTCTTTATGGTCAGAGACAAAACTCATGGGTGCAAGGTCCTCTTCTGCCTCTGAGGGGGTGACAGGGACAAGGTGCTCAGTCTACCCTCCTAGATGACCTGCAGCCCGCCCAGGAGAAATGGTCGTGTCTGTGTCCTTTTCTTCCTCCCCTGCCTTGCTCAGTCTGCTGCAGAATTACTGAGCAGTTCACGTTGTGATGGATGAAGTGTTTATACAAGGTTAGGAAGACTTGAAAATTCATGATGTGTGTGTGTGTGTGTGTTTTCAATGTGTAGTTGCTCCTGAGAGTAAATTAATCATGTTACATGGATCAGAATTCACCATCCAGGTGGCTTCTTAGCAGACTTTACATGGTTTTCCTAAGTGACGTTGTCAAAAGAATTTCCATATTTGTGACTGTGTGGTAATTACACAGACAACAAATCTGTGGCCCTGCCTCCCAGACAATGACCCTATTCTTGTGAGGTTAACATCCACAGGATGTTATGGAAGGGTTATAATTACTTTTTCATGTTCTTGATAATAAAATGACCTTTTAGCTTTGGATTTGAAGATTTGGTGGCAATAACATGTAGAGAAAGTAAAAACATAAAGATATCTCTGCGTGAGGTGGCAGGAGTTTTGGTTGTGTCCCCAGTCCTGTAGACTGTGTCCTGTGGTTTTGGAGCTGAGCAGGGCTGAGCCTTGCTGCGTGAGCTGGGGTGCAGAGGGGGACACGAAGGGAGGGGTGGATTTGCCCACACTGTTTGCAGTAACTTCAGAGGCCCCCCCCAGCCTGTTCCTGGCACATCACCTACAGCTGACCCCCTGTAAAGTAGTGCCGTCCGCGTCTTCCCTGCTGCACGGGGCCCTGATGCTTGCAACCCAGAGCCATTTCTAAAATGAAAGATACTAAAGAGGTAGAGAAACAGACACAGCTCTGATAGCAAGCACATGCAGGAAATAATGTCCCCTTAAGTTTGGGGTTTTAACATCAGAAGATTATTTTAAAATAAATAGTTGGCAAAGGAACAGAGCAAGTGAAACAAATGAGGTTTGGCTTCCATTCTCCGCCACCCTCCCCAGGTCCCCTGGCCAGTGCTTCGTTTCTTCTTGGGCAGGGGTGTTATCCATGAGAGACAGGAAGTTGCTTGTTATGAGTGGAAGCCACAAATCTTGCCATTTCTTCCCTCGCCCACCCAATCCAGACTACTCTCATTAAAATATCTAAATTACATCCTTTGAACTAAAGACCTGTCTTATGTATGTTGTCAAGGGGCATGTGCATTTGAAAATTCTAGGGTCAGTTATTTAAGTTCCAGACAATAGCTACAGCCCCACAAGTCAAGTTTAAATTGTGTCTTGCCTTCTTTTACTGATGTGTGGCATTTAGTCAAAATCAGGTCATTCTGGCTCCGTAGCTGGGTCCCCCTTGGACGTGAACATCCACCTCATTCAGGCGTGGAGGGCAGTGGGGAGATGGATGGAGAACTTCCCAGCTCGTAGAACAGCCTCACGTGATGCAGAAGGTACAGCGAGGTGGGTGCTTGTCAGTAGCAGGAGGCATCGATTTCAGGCCAGAGCTCCATATTAACTCCCTTTCTGCTCCAGGTTTGTAAGTGGAAGAGCAACCAGTAAGTTACCAGCTAAATCCAGCCACATGTAGGATCGACAGAATGGCCAGATGATAAACTGCTCAGCAGTGATTTGATTAATAACCATTTGCCTGAAATCCAGAGACACCCCCCCCCCCCCCCGCCCGCGGGGGGGGGTGGAGGCCCGTGAAGAGC